GTCCGTTAGTTCAGACTATCTTCATGTGCATTTCGCGACAGGGGGATGCGGGCAAATCTGCTTGTCTATATGCTAATTCGCCGCTCCCGCGCGGCGGAGTGAGCCAGCAGGCAGATGAACGGCACTGATACAGGAGAGGTCTTTGAAAAAACCGATCCTTCCTGCCGACACGCGCATCTCAAAATGCAATCAGCGTTTTTGCGAGCGTTTGTTGCCAGTTTGTGAACAATTGTTTTTGGAATTTGCTGAATTTTGCTTTTAAACTTTCATACTAATATGATTGCGTTTATTTCATGACACTGCTTTCCTCTTTTATAGAACTTCATGTTTTGTAATTAGTTTTCTTTTGAGGTACGAAGCGGTTCCGGTATTAATTTAGTTTTTTCGCATTTCCTTTGCCACAAGGCGCATATCTGAGGGTTATAATGAGCTCAGCATTCTGTTGAGTCGGCATATTTTGCAGGTTCATCAACATTTTCTGTTTATTGATGACAATGGCGTCAAAACAGCGTCATGGTAAATTATTTCCTGAATCTGAATTTTTCATCTCATGGGTACAATGATTTATAGTTTCATTTTAGCCACTCCAGTTTTGTATTTCCTTTTTTAGTACGTTATGTACGTAAACTGAATTGTTTTTGTTCGCATTGGTGTAGCTCATTTAATGTAAGCGTGATTGAACTACAATAATTGTGTTATCACCACTACTTTTCCAACTTTTGTTGAAAGTTTCCAACTTTCCTCTAATTTTTTCGTCTCAAGAGGAACAAGGTAAAATGATGCATTTATTGTATATCAGAAAAGATATTTCAAAATAGTTTTACTATTCCAGTAGAAATAAATTTCACAGATGGCATGTTATAAAATATTGTTGTTTTTTTCGTAACAGGTTATTGTTTTAGTGTTTCACAATACCCATCTCACCGGAGATGAAACTGAAGAGGGATGCCTGTAAAAAATATCATATAACGTGACCGAGGATAAAAGAAGATAGTGAATGGTTCACCTCGCCCTTGTGCAAGCCCTCTGCCTGTTACGTCCCCAAGTTGCGATCACATTCCGATGACCCTGGTCATAAAGCGTCTTCTCCTGAGCCACAACGTTCGCAAAATGAAAAGCATCAAATCCTGATGGCCTACACTTTCGACCACCTAAACCGGGTAACACGCACTTAAGGACTGCGCGGCAGTTAACGCTATCGCTCGTTACCGTCCGAGGCCCTAATTTCTTTGCGTTCTCGTAACCCGCGCTGCTCCTACCGCCTCGTAATCAACCACTTGTTGGCGCAAACGACTCGAATGCAGACGGCCGAAATTAAACTACAGAGACAAGCGATAAATCAAGAGCGATACGCGCAGTCCCGCGCCGCGACTCGGCGAGAGGCGTGTCGCAGGGAACTAATAATAAATCGCGCGGAGGAGACGCGAAGTTGTCGCTCACTTGGTCGCGCAAGTGGAGCAATTACGCACGAGGAGACGCCGGGGGGAAGGGGGGGCAACGCGGTTCCAATCTTGCGAACGGCCGCGAGGCTGACGGGCGGGGGCGGGGTCGGGCGGCGGTCGGGAGAGCGCGAACGACCAATGCGACGCCTTCGCCGCACGTCGGCGCGTCCTGCCCCGTTGGGCTGTTGTCGGCCCCGCACCTTCATAGTCCTCTCCTCCCCGCCCCCATCTCAGACGTCTCGTTATCGCGCGGGCGAGGCCTCCGCCTTCGACGCCGAGTCCGCCTCGCCGTATTTCTTCCGACTCGTTTCCCGTGTCTCGACGCCCTTGTTATTCTCTGTCGTCTCGTTGCTCATCCAGCCATTTATAACACCCTACATCACGTACCCCTTTCACCTTCTTTAAATCGGAATTGTGTTTGGTCTTTCATGCGCCTGCGAAAAGGGAGAAGGGCTACGTCTTTGACCGTAGATAACGTAGTTTCTGTACGCTGCCATAACTTTTGGACCGTTCAATGGATTTTGCGGATTGAACATAATAATCTACTTTCACCCTGAACATTTAATTGTCTGCCCAAACGTATGGTTGAAACTAACAAAATCAATATGCAAGGATTTTTACACCTGTACAACTTTAACACCTAACGCTTTACTTTTATCTAACCTACTAAAAAAAATGAATGAATCCATTGAGGAATGAATCCAATTAAAGAGTATGTTCTATAATGTAATGTGTAGTAGAATAAACAAATCATTTTATCGTAGAAAAAATCACACATTCTTTATGTTTCTTCATTGGATTCATTCATAGGAGAATCTGCTTCTTATCAATTTCCATTTCGTTTATTACGACTACCTCCTCTCTCATTCACATTATTCGACATCTGTTCTACTTGTTCTCTATTTTGTGCATTATTCCGTTGTTCTTCTTCCATATATTTCGCACCTTTTCGCTGCCACTCTCCGCGTCAACGCCGCCGCTGCCGCTTCGCGCGGAGGCCATCGCGCCGCGAGCAGCGCTATCTATCTCTTCCAGCACCTCTGGCGTCGGCGCCGACGGGCGTGAGGGGCGCGCTTTGATCGCGGGCGCCGCGCCCGCCGGGCTCTCGCCGCGACTCCCCTCGCCCCCCTCCCCCGCTAATAAAGAGATCGTCCCCTTTATGGAAGTTATCGCCGGCGACGGAGTCAGTTACCCAATCCGTCGCCCTTCCTTTCGAGCCCGCAATCTGAAAATTTTATGGGGCGGGTATTAAGTTAGAGCAGACGTGTGAACAGACGATGGCACGGAAGAGGAGAGGAGAGAGAGACAGAGAGAGAGAGGGCGTGGGAGGGGGAGAGAGTGGAGAAGAATGGATAAGTGGGGTAACGCGCAGCTGGCTGTCGATTCAATCGAGAGCGCTCATCCTTCCGCCTGTTGTTCCTTTCCTGTCATCGCGCTTTCAGTCGGTGATGCCGTTCGATTTATTCCATTACTCCACACAAGTGTCTTGTTGACTGCTTGTTTTTTTTCTTCTCTTCGGTGGGAAGACACTACAAAAGAGCGGGTTTCAAGAGGAAAACATCTCTGAGTGAACACCAAGGCACAAAAATGTTTTTCGCTATCATATAATGTGAAAAATGTTTTATGTGATGTGAATAATGCAATTTGATGATACAACTGATACGAGATGAATCATTGATTTAATCACCGAATAGTTATTTTTTCAAACGCAAACTTCACCCTCTAGTTACTATGTATATTCATTGCTACAAATTAGAACAGACATTTTTTCAAGCTATACAAACATTTATAGTAATTATAAACAAATATTTTTTATATTTCATACCTCAAGTACAAGAAAAAATAAATGCTGAAAAATTCAACATCTCTTATCAATGATATTGGAGTCACGTAATATTTCTTTAAGATTACTTTAAAGACATTTCATTTTCTTTTATTTCAATGTTCTCGTATATCTTGGTCCCGAAGTTTCAATCACGACCATAATAGTAATGAAGACAAGGAGACGCGTGACATACCGAAACGTTTCCTCGTCATTGTCGAAAATTACAAAGACCAACTATATCAGACATGTGCTACACCATTTACAGGAAAGTAAAAAAAAAAACAAAAAACAATTAACATGCTGAAGTTAGCGCAAAGCTCAGAGTAGCCGCGCCGCAGCTGGCTCTGCAGTCACTCTGATCTGGAGGTTCTGAACGTCGAGCCCCAACGTTGGCAAATTTTCAAAACTAGTTGTGCAGCTAGATCGAATTCAGACGCTGTTTGGAGAACAATTATCGCGTCCGGCTGCACTTGTCAGTAGTGTTTAGTGGTTTCTTCAATCAGTATAAGGCGAATGCTGGAGCAGTACCATAACAAACGTGCACGATCTTTCCTTCCTCTTCCTTGCCGTATATTCTCCCCTTACTCTAACACACGCTTAAACGCATTGCTCTACCCCACGTATCGAGCACCTGCTGACCGCTGCCGGTGGGTGGGGCAATATTAAGGGCATTCGTTTCACGGATTGGTATGCAACTTCGGTGCCAGAGTGGGGGGATCTAAACGAGTGACTTGGTTAGCGAGTTCCTAATGGAAAGATGTACGCAAGTTTTGGAATTCATGAATGCTAGACGTTGGTTCTGCAGATTCAACACTAAAGCATTGTACGCTCCTCGCCAGGGTGTATTCATGACTTGCGTCGGTTCAAATCTTCTTCTACAACCGTGCTTTGCCCGCGGTTAAGTTAGGGATGGGAGTAACTCATAGGGGTACGATAGGTTCGTAAAGCCAGCGTTGATAAAGTACCGATATCCACAATGATAAAAAAATCTAAAAATTAGCAAACCCTATCAAGAATATTGAATATAATATTTGGAGACCGTGTCAAATAACATAAAGCATAAGATTAAAAAAATTAATGTAGTTGTTTTAATTTCTTTGAATTATAACTTACTTTAACTATTTGGGGCTACAGGCATCAACCAACATTTACGACCGGTCATATGAACTTTTGAAACTTCTCAATGCCAACATGATAATAATTATTATGATCAACCGCCGTGGTTCCCAATTGGGGATCGCAGACCATTTTCATTGTTGCATGATATTCTGTATTTTCACTGGCTCATATGTTTCTTTTACAATTTTTCCATCTATTAAAGAAATAAAATTCTCTAGTTTTCTTCATTCGTGAATGCCAGATGTCGATTTAGACGTGACCGTTAAGGCATGGTTACTTCTGGCCAGGGCGAACGCATGATTTGCGTCGGCTCGAATCTTCATCTAAACCGTGATAGATGCTATAATTTTATGGTTACGTCGGAGGAAGAGGTCGGTGTGTAGCAAACGCACCAAAGTTGCCATAGCATATGAATCTAAGTTCTAAAGGTATTGCTACTTATAAAAGAACAAAAAAGCCTCAGCCTGAATCATACATGCTGACGCGTTCTCTTTGCTAATGAGTGCACGGGCTAGTTTCAAAGATAAAACTTTTCGAGTATTCTTGTTTTAAGTACGAGTGCTTTAATATGACATTAGTACAAATGTCATTACTAATCATACAATTCTATGCAGGTTTTTACAATGTTATTTATATTAGACGTGAAGAGGTGTGTTTCAAATTTGTTCATTTTTCGTACCCGTTACGAACAATTAGAACAAGTTTCTGCTCACTTGTAGTTCCATAGGTTTGTGTCTCTTTCCTAGTGTAGCGAAGAAATGTACTTTAATGTCAGTGACGAATAAGTTTCCTGCGTCATCTTCAACCTCTCCGTTCCTAGTTATGCATTCAGGTCCATCTCATTGGTAGGGTATCGGCTGTTCGCGTCCGGAAGCCTTCATTTTTGAGACAATCAAGTAGCAGCCCTGACGCCAAAATGTTTCTCTCAGGATGTCAAGTGCATCTCTTTGGCAGAGCTTAAGCTTTGCACTAGCAAAACTGCTGATTATTTCTATACTTAACTCGTGAAGTCTCGTTGCTTTGAATGTGCATATCTACCACATTTTTGTCATCGTACATGTTTTATTTTTGCATTTGTTCAATTTTATTCCACTAATCTAATTCATATATTCTCCAACAATTTAATTTAATGTCATTTGCCGCGTTTTTGAGTTCATTGTCAACAATACTAATGATTTTTTTGTTTTATACATTCTTTATTAATTTTTCTGCTCCATCTTCACTCCTTTTCTGCTCATTCCAATAAATGAATAAATGTCTTTATTGGTGCCAACAACAAACACATATTTTCCCGTTGTTCTTCTCTCCTTCCTTCTCGTCCATTTCTTTCCCTTTCCTCCTACCTTTCTCACCGATCCGCTAACCTTTCTTCATATCTTTCTTGCTCCCTTTGTTTTTTTCCTTTCCTCCATTACATCATTTCTTGCTTCACCCTCGTTCATTTCCAACGTTCCAAGCATTTCCTCAAATGTCCTCTTCATCTGTCACGCCTCGATTAAACTCTCCAAAGTTCCTGACCTGAGCCTCCTTGTTTCCGCTGCGTCTTCCCGTCGGCCTCCGCGCGCATCCACTCGGCCGCGCGTATCGCCCACGAGGGCCCTTGCTGCGCCCCGCCCCCCCCCCCCCGCCCCGCGCGTTCGAGCCAGCGCTTGCCTGCGCGGCGCAGCACTCGCGCGTGTTTTCTCGATGACCCCCTCGACCGCCCTCGAGTGCTTTCGCTCCCCTCTCCGGCAAAGCGAGTTCTCGGGCCGCCTCGGCGTCGGTTCCGTGCGGGAGGGCTTTCTGCCCATAGTTAGGAATAGAACGACGACAATCACGTTGGAAATGCGAGCGTGGAGTCGAGGTAGATGAAATATTTATGGAAATGCTGATAAGTCGCGGAAAAATCCCTTCAGAAATAAGGAGGCAGTTTGTTTCGCAATTGAAAGAGAGAAAGAGGGAAAGGGTGTTGATTTATTACGCATTATTGTGAATAAACCAATATCACAATGAACTAGCAGATGGTTTTTTGTCATGACATGAAATTTAGGTAGAAATCCTTTGAGTGTTGAAAACCACAAAATGCTTGACTAATGTTGACATGTCGAATGTCGAAGGGTGACGGTTGTGGGATGGCGAAGGTTGTGGGGCAGGGTGGAGGTTGTGTGGGAAGGCGGAGGTTGTGTGGTGTGGGAGGGATGGCGACGGTTGTGTGGGAGGGATGGCGACGGTTGTGTGGGAGGGCGGAGGTTGTGTGGGAGGGCGGAGGTTGTGTGGAGGCCGGAGGTTGTTGGCGAGGGCGGAGTAGGTCCAAGAGAGTCTTTTGAGAGGCCTCGGCCAGAGGAAGGGCTGCGGTGCGCGCGCTGGCCGATCGCGCAATTCGTCAGGAGAGGGCGCTCGTTGCGGCTTGAGAAGAGCGATCGGCCGCAGCGGAAGGCCTTGGGGGGCCGGGATGCATGCGCACAATTTGTCGACGCGACACTTGCGGCCGCGGCCTGGGTGGGCGTGCGGGCGAGGGCGCGGCGGGGCGGCGCGGGGGGCATCTTGCGTGGCAACGGCGGCGCTGCTGGGCCGCCTGTCGGAGGCTGTTCGGAAAGGGGCCCTGGGGGGGGCGGAACCACCCACCGAAGCGCCGGCCAGGGCGTGCGAGGGGGAGGGGGCAGCCCATAATCGATTGCGGGCGCGGGCGACGTCCGTCTCGCCGCATCGCCGTCGCCGATTAATTGCATCCGTCGCCGCGCGCTCTGTCCGTCTGTCCCGCGGCGCCCGCGCGGCGCGGCCCCGTCCGCCCAGCGCACTGCGGCGCCACCTTCCTCACCCACACCACACGCATCTCTTGGTGCGGTGTCGGTTGATCACAACTTACGTCGTCCATTGGAATAGTGTTGCTACCGGGGAAGATTTCGGGAAATATGTATAGGCTTGGTGTTTTCTCAAACTGTGTATTCTTTTTTGTCCTCTCCTCTTTTCCTATTTTTTATTGGTGACATGTTTATTCTATTCTTGAATACTTTTCTTTAATATTTTCTTTTCATTTTATTCCTATTGTTGTCGGAAAATGCGTGGGCGCTGGAATATTGTTCGATAGTTCTTCTCCGGCGTGAGCTTCGTTATTCAATTACACTGATATTAGAATTCTTAGTATCTCAGGTCGTTCTCGCATATTGAGACAACTCCTGCACCTCTAGGAAACGAATTCACATCTTTTGAAAAGTCAAGTTAAACGCTCTTTCTTGTGTATCCTTGTGCACAAAATCCTTGTTTTCTTTTCTTTATTCTCCCTTCCCTGCACAGTTGCCCCTCCACCACACTCTGTGACATCATTCATTCGTCTCATTTTTTCATATTACTCACGCCTCACTTTGCTTTGAACGGTCTCATTCTTTTGTATTTTTGTTTTCAACAACTGAAAGGTTTTCAATAGCAGGCTTTGTTTGTTCGTCAAATGTCACTAGTCAAAATCGCCATTCATTTCTGACACGCTCGGAATCCATAGGAATAATTATACTGTTTTGGCGAGCTTTCTCGCAATTTCGTTGGCAGATTTTTTCGACGTTAAAAATGCGGGACGAAACGTTGCCTTTGTTGTGTGTCGTTTGCTGACGATTATTTCGCTTTGGTTATCAATTTGTTGTTGCGCATTTAATGTGTTTGCATGCCGATATTATAGGTGTTTATCGCTGAAACTAGAGTTTATGGAGTAGAAATCCATTAAATTTATGATACAGGAAATATTTGTTGGCGATATTCCAATTATTTCGTTTCCAGATAATATGTTTGCTACCGTTCAATATTTAATATACTGTAACCTATTTTTTATAAAGCTGTTGAAATGAGAAAAACCTGTTCTAAGATATAACGAAGGAAACAAAAAATGTACTACACGTGATTAAAATATGTTGAAGGACATGTTATATATCAATAGTAATGAGACAAATTTTATGACAAAACAAGTAGTGTGTATTTGATGTGGAGATGACTTGAAAAACAATAAAAGTTGCAGAGATAGAAGATATTTTTAATAAGGTTAAGCACATAAAAAAACATTTAAGTAGAAAATGAACGAGCGGTGAAAGTGATGCTGTTACTGTAAGTGAAAAGCACAATTAAGAACAATAAAATAGTGCATCAGGCAAAAGGGAAAATGAGACATGTATTTATGACAACATGTAAACTTACAACACGTGTATTTAAAAAAAATGCTAATACTTTTGGGCAGAATGCATTGTTTTCTGATCGATATAATGATCGTTCCAAGCGGGGAAATACTAGACAAGGTGGTCAATGTTATATAACATAACATAACTAAGAACTCTTTAAGTGAAACTACGCTATTAAACGGAAATATAAATTATATTTGCGTAAAAAAATTAAATTTTATATAATTATCTGTATTACAGTGTTACAAGTCTTTAATAAATTCATAATACATTGTCGTGTTCAATATTAATGTCACTTTTCTGTAATTGCTTTTCATTACAAAATATTAAAGCAAGAATGATATTTCTAGTGTTAAAATACAAATGTTGATTCTGTGTTGCCTTGGAAAAGAGATTCATTGATAATAGATTTCGAATTGTAAAATTTAATACAATCAAATATGTTTTAATTTCTGTCATTGCAAAGGAAAATTGGGCATAAACTTATAGCTTTAATAATTTAATCTGCATTTTACGCGAAATGGAAAATATTTGATTTTAATGAAATGCTATTATGATTAATAATGTAATAATGAGAAGGATTTCTCAGTTTCTGTACAATTACACAGGCACACAGAATAAAAGTTGTTAGATCCAAAAACTTGTCACATGTTTCTGTATGTATCTGAAGTGAGAATTGTTCTACCACCCTCCAGTTATTTTTAAATAGCGAAAACACATGCGAACACTAGATGGTGTCTTGTAGCATTATACTTTACAGAAGCAACGTATTGTTAGACCCCAAACTTGACAAACATCTTCCTATGTATGTCGACGCGCTGAATCCAAAGTCAGAATTGCGCAATCACCTTACATCTTTTTTTAAATCGTGGAAATCCATCGATGAACTTACACTCTGACGGTGGTTTTTCGCGTTTGAAAAAACTGCAAGGTGAAGGCGCAATTCTGGCTTCACATTCGGATGCAGCGTGTTGACATAGAGAGAGAAACATATGTCACGTCCTCGGGTCTGACAACATCCCCTAAAAAGGAAAAATACATTATCACAGTGTTTTTTCACGGTTAAAAAACAAACAAAAACGGAGAGTGGTAGTGCAATTCTGGCTTCAGATTCATTCGTTGACGTTCAGAGGGAAATACGTGTCAAGCCTTCGCATCTGACAACTTTTTTGGTGTCTGCTTGTGTTATTAGTTACGATTATTGAAGCCGTGTAGGATGATGGCGGCTCCAAAGAGAACAAGCCCAAGTATTCTGAGGAATCTTTTACTTCTAAACTCACTTCAGACTGTCCAATCCTGTGCCCACAATTTTGGCGTAGATCTCGCCCTTGAGATACTTTTGAAATGTTTTGGACATACGTAAATTCAACATTGCTTCGTCGTCTAGTGAGCGTTCTTACGATTATCTTTTCAAAGACTCTCGGTAAGTGGAATGAGTTGAGGGTGATTGCATGAGTTTGCGACTCTCACATATAATGTTCTTTAATTATTTATTATTTCTTTACGTTGTATTTTGAAACACACTTCCGTCTGGTTGATTTCATATAAACGATAGGTAACTTTTCAATATCTTAGG